TTTTTTTAAAGCAGCTCATGACAAATTATAAAAGCCAAACTTCTCCTTTGTCCTCCTCTGCAGAGCAGCATGGCAGCTCCATGTGATCATCGCTGAACACTGTATCCCTCATGTCCTCACACACACAAAAACCAGCAGACCACAACCGCACGATGACAAACGCACAACTTGTCACACGGTCAGCGCGACGTGTTTGACCTGACGAGTCGCACGCTCTGCCGGGAACAGATTTCCTGATGACATCTGAGCGCGCAAGTGTCATTCTGTGTGGGGGCTGATGTCTGTGTACATGATGTAGCTCTAATGCTGCTTAAGCTTCTCTTAAACTACTGGAAAGCTCTGACAGCCCACCCTAAACCCACCAGCCTCTGGGGAATGACAACAGTCAGCCATGTGTATGCAGACTAAACGAAATGTGCACAAGCAGAGACATACAATAAATAAACCGTCTCTGACAGGTGTTATTTGGCTAACAGAAGCCTATTCAGTCAGAGCACACATATCAATAGATACAAATTAACCTCCTGCCCCCTCCCACCCCTAAACAGCAATCAGAAATCAGCACTTTGGTTGGCCTTGTTGCTGTTTTAAGTGCTATATAAATAAATTGGTATGGTATGGTATGGTATGGTAGAAATATGAGAAGCTGGTATCTGTTTGGCCACAGTGCCCCCTGGTGGTCATGTTAACTCACTACATTATTAGCAATTAGCATCTGAGACAGTGAACAGCCAATAAATCACACATTAGAGCAAGTTTTAATTAAAAAAACATTTTTTAAGGGGGTAAATCTTGCCAGTAATCAGTAATGACAGCTGTGTTGCTCATTGTGTTCTTTTTAAAACGTTGCCAGCTAGAAACTTCGTTCTGATACAATTTAGAATAAAATTTTAAACGTAACCATTTGATAGTAAGGACATATTGCAGATTGTAAAGTTTAACATTTTCTTAATAAAAATAAAAAAAATGCATTCAAAAAATAAATACAGAAAATTCTCAATGATTACGTTTAGCTTTAAAATCAAAGGTTCAGAATGGAAAATACCAACATTGCCAGAATATTTTTGGTCTTCTGGGTTTGAAAATTTCTCAGCGAGACATTTAGTTTTGCACAATTAAGTGCATTATGCTTCGCGCTCAGAGGAGAAGGACATCAGCCTTCTCATCTTTAGCTTGTAGCAACTTTTCCTCCAGTGGTGCTCACTGCACCTTTCAAATGTACTCTTTGTCAATGCACGGAGTCCTAATCATCCATGAGAGTAAAGGAACCTTCAAACTTCTAACATCTGTGGTATTTTCACAAAACGTACCACAAACAATTTGTAAAGACCTTGGGAAGCTGTATTGGGGAAGGGGGTATGTATACTAACAAGGATCAAATCTTTGATTTTAATCATTTAAACGTTTCCAGACACAACTTTACAGCACAGGTAGCTAAATGAAAGTCTAATCCTACCTGTATGCCTTCTATTCTCTCTGTCACCACATAGGCGTGATGCATCGCAATCAAAGGAACTTTGACTCCGGCCATTTCTCCCAGCTTGGTGGCCCACACCCCTGCAACAGGAAAATATTCAAAACATGCTTACGTGAAATTACAGTATGTGAAATATCAGTACTTCGAAAGCAACTTTAAGAACAAAAAAACGCAGCCGAATGTTGTCGCATTAGTTAGCTGATGATTTTTGCCTGAATCTCACCTGCACAGTTCACCACACAAGGTGTCTCGATGGTCCCATGGGGGGTCTCCACCGCCCTGACCCTCCTAACCCCGAGGTCGTCTGTTCGTACTTGGATTCTGGTCACAGGGCAGTTCTCGATCACCTGATTCAAACGGGACAGCAGTGAAATAATCACATGCGAGACAATACAGTGAAACTCTAATTGTGCGACTGTTAATGAAGCATTCACACTGTTGTGATCCATTTTTCTTTCGTACATTTATCGGCATCTTTCTCGTTCCACAATTTTTGTGTTATTTCAACAAATCTTATATCAAAATGTTCAGCTCTTTCAGGACTGCCGTGACTTTTGGGTTTGGTGCAACTTTGGCTTTTATAAATATTTAGCCTTTTCTGCCTCTTTGAATTGAGAGCTCAGTTTACATCCTTCAGATCTGTTTACAACCTTTTACTGCTCCTTTCACATTTTGTTCTGGTTCAGCTTCTTTCAGCTTCCTTGTACAAATGTAAACTTTTTCTTCAGCTAATTTCAGCTGTTGTGTGCTCCTTTCAGCTTATTTTTGCAAGTTTCATTTTTTTTTTTTGCTATTTCAGCTACTATTTAGCTGTTTTATGCTAACTTGAGCTTTTTCATCTAATTCCACACTTTAATTTCAACGTATTTCTACATAATTCAGCAAAAATGTGCTCTCTACATCCTTCTGGTAACAAGCTTTTTTCTGCTTTTGTAGCTACTTTTCAGCTGGTTTTTGCTAAATTCAGCTTTTTTTCCAGATAAGTTCCTCTTTTTTGTGCCCATTTCTGCTTTTTTCAGCCTAATTTGGCAAACGTCCCATTTTCTTCTTCTAATTTAAGCTTGTTCTACTCGTTCAGCTAGCTTTTTAGCATTTTCTAGCTGATTTTGGCTGTTTTCAGATAAATTCTAGTTTATTGTGATAATTTCTGCTTTCAACATAATTAATTTCTTTCTGCTAATTTCAGCGTGTTATACTCCTGTCATCTTAATTATGCTAGTTTCAGCTTTCAGTTACTTTTTAGCTGTTTTATGCTCATTTTAGTTTTTCAGCTAATTCCACATTTTTGAGCTCATGTCAGCTCTTTCCACTTCCTTCCTTCCTTTAGTTTAAGCTTCTTTCTACCTTTCAGCTACTTTTCTGCCGTTTTTTTCTAATTTCAGCTTTTTTTTGCTAATTTCAGCTTTTTTTTGCTAATATCCTAATTGTTCAAATTTCTGCCCTTTTTAAACTTAATTCAGCAAATATGTGTTCTTTCTGCCTTCTGCTAATTTAAGGCTTGTTCTTCCATTTCAGCTACATTTCAGCATGTTTTTGGCTATTTTCAGCTATTTCTGAACAAGTTCTTCTGCAATAAACATTCACACTGCATTTTTGCATGAAATGCAATTTCTCTAGTTTAACTTTGTTTTTCTTTTTGTTAAATCTCACATCTCTTTCTACGGCAGCTGAATTGTCAGTTACTATGGTGACATAACCCAAAAGTAGCTACCTTTACTAAATCAATAGAGGGGGAAAAGAACTGTGCCATTTCATCCAAGTTGCCCAATTAAATATTCAATTTCTGGACTGTAAGATTTGCTAAAGAAGGAGTGAGTGTTTGTTTCCTTTAGTCAAGTCAAGATGAGTCCCGTTACCGTGGCTCCCCTGGCGCTGGCAGCTCTGCTCAGGGTGGTACAGGTGCCTGCAGGGTCCATGGTACCGTCTTTAGGAACGTACAGGGTCCCGTAGAGGTCATCGACATTCATCAGTGGATAAAGGTCCTTGGTCTCGGCAGGTGAAAGGACGTGAGACTCGATACCATAGACTTTACCCAGCTGGAACCCAAAGAACAATTGAGCTGTTCTTAAGAACTTTAAATCACACGAGTCTCTGTGGGTTGATGTAAATTGGACTCGTTTGTGAACTGGCTCAATGCAATTCAACTGAACTGATGCAAAACCACAACGTATTGTCCAACAAATCATCATTTTATCACAAATCTGAGCTACGTGGACATTCATATGCAGTAAAAGAGCATCTTAAAGAATGTATTTATTGGATTTTTGCTTTTTTAAAGCAAGCATAAACGTATGTGTGAAATAAACCCTCGTCCATCAAGTCTCAATACTTCCTTCATCCAAAGTTTGTTTGTTTTTTGGAAAGAAATCCTTCAAGCCTTTGCTGACACCTAACTTGTAGTAGATGATGCTGTGGAAACCTTGTAAAGCCACGATACTCGCATCTTGAAATTTAGGCAAACAAAACAAAACATTTTCAATCTTATTTCACCATTCCATGAGTTTATTAATAAAACGGGGTAAAAGAAATGCAACAACATTGACATATTTCATGAATAATCATGAAATTAAAAAAAATGAACCTTTCCAAATATTTCTTACAGTCCTTACCGACATGAGCCGCTTGTACTCGTCCAGTCTCTGCTTGTTGGAGGCGATGAAGAGTCCTCCGTTCTGGATCCAGCCCGTGTGGAGGCCCGTCTCCTCCTCCAGGTCTTTGCTGACGACGTTTCTGGTGTGAGCCAGGAGCTCCACCTCCACATCACTGGGCCGGAGCTGCCACAGCAAGCCTGGGAAACAGACGGACACATCAGCTGACGTAAAGAAACACTTCGACCCGAGCTTTGGGTCTGTTACCTCTGAGCGTGAGGTAAAAACACGCTTGGTGTGTTACCTGCAGTGTGCCAGGTGGTGCCAGCAGTCAGTCTGTCTCTCTCCAGCAGAACTGCGTTGGTCAGGCCCATTTTAGCCAGATGGTAGATGGTCTGACAGCCGAGACTTCCTCCTCCAATCACCACTACATCAGCTGACCTGAGGCAGCAAAGTATCGGTAGATGTTCCAGACCAGTTACAGGAGATGCTTAAATGCGAAAGGACGATACTGCTAGTAAAAGGTTGTTCTCATCCAATTAGGGTGAAGCTGCTGCTCTTATTAAGAACACTGGACGAAATGTTAATTATATACAGGTGCTGGTCATAAAATTAGAATATCATGAAAAAGTTGATTTCAGTAATTCAATTCAAAAAGTGAAACTTGTATATTATATTCATTCATTACACACAGACTGATATATTTCAAAATGTTCATTTCAAAACCCCAAATTTAGTATCTCAGAAAATTTGAATATTAAGACCAATTTATATAAAAAGGATTTTTAGAAATGTTGGCCAACTGCAAAGTATGAATATGAAAAGTATGAGCATGTGCAGCACTCAATACTTAGTTGTGGCTCCTTTTGCCTGGATTACTGCAGCAATGCGGCGTGGCATGGAGTGGATCAGTCTGAGGCACTGCTCAGGTGTTGTTAGAGCCCAGGTTGCTCTGATAGAGGCCTTCAGCTCTTCTGAATGGTTGGGTCTGGTGCGTCACATCTTCCTCTTCACAATACCCCATAGATTTTCTATGTTCCTGTTTTTAGTTTTCTACATTCACCTTATAATCTAGCTGTTTTTGCCATCTTATTTTAATTTGTAAAAAAAAAAATCTGTATGCCTCTTTTATAATTGTCTATTGTTGTCGCTGTTGTCCATTGTTGTCATAATTTTTTGTTGAAACCAGGTCTCTCTTGTAAATGAGTCCTCGAGACTCAATGGGATTAACCTGTCTGAATAAAGGTTGAATGGATGAATGAATGAATGGATGAATGGATGGATGAATGGATGAATGAATGGATGAATGAATTAATGGATGAATGAATGGATGAATGAATGAATGAATGAATGGATGAATGAATGGATGAATGAATGGATGAATGGATGAATGGATGAATGAATGAATGAATGGATGGATGAATGGATGAATGAATGGATGGGGCAGGAGAGTTTACTGGCCAATTAAGAACAGAGATACCATGGTCCTTAAACCAGGTGATGGTAGCTTTGGCACTGTGTGCAGGTGCCAAGTCCTGTTGGAAAATGAAATCTACATCTCCATAAAGTTGGTCAACAGCAGGAAGCAGGAAGTGCTCTAAAACTTCCTGGCAGATGGCTGTGTTGACCTTGAACCTCAGAAAACACAGTGGACCAACATCAGCAGATGACATGGCAACTCAAACCATCACTAATTGTGGAAACTTGCCACTGGACCTGGATTCTGTGCCTCTCCACTCTTCCTCCAGACTCTGGGACCTTGATTTCCAAAGGAAATGCCAACTTTACTTTAAGAGAATAAGAGAACATAACTTTGAACCACTCAGCAGCAGTCCCAGGAGAGACACTTCTGATGCTGTCTCTTGTTCAAGAGTGGTTTGACACAAGGAATGTGACAGCTGAACCCCTTGTCTTGCATACGTCTGTGCATGGTGGTTCTTGAAGCACCGACTACAGCTACAGTCCACTCTTTGTGAATCTCCTCCACATTTTGGAATGGGTTTTGTTTCACCATCCTCTCCAGGGTGTGGTTATCCCTATTGTACACTTTTTTCTACCACATCGTTTCCTTCCCTTCACCTCTCTATTAATGTGCTTGGACACAAAGCTCTGTGAACAACCAGCCTCCTTATCAGTGACCTGTTGTGTCTTGCCCTCCTTGTGCAAGGTGTCAATGGTTGTCTTTTGGACAACTGTCAAATCAGCAGTCTTCCCCATGATTGTGTAGCCTACAGAACTAGACTGAGAGACCATTTAAAGGCCTTTGCAGGCGTTTTGAGTTAATTAGCTGATTAGAGTGTGGCACCAGGTGTCTTCAACATTGAACCTTTTCACAATATTCTAATTTTATGACCAGCACCTGTATCATCTGTTCATAAAACTCACTGGGGTAAAGGCTTAGTGGGTCCAGAGGATGCTCCGTCCTCCTGTTTGAGAGTCTTCTTGTAGGGGACGCTTTTTTCCTTGGTGGGATCTGAGCTGTAGGACCGAGCGCTGGTCCGACAAAGAGCGGGGAGAGGAGGCCGCAGTGCTGACCCCACCTGCCGAACCGCACTCCCAAGGAAGGCCATTACCACTGTGGACACAAAGAAGCAAAACAGCCCAAATGAGACACAACACAGACAGTTTCACATACTTGAATCCAACAGAACACTTTAAAGTCCTTAATTATGACGATCGAGTTGCTGTCAGGACATTTCTACACATTAATACGTCTTATTAGGATTTTAAAAGAAAGGGATCTGGCTTGATCAGCCTTTGAAGTAGTCACTAATGAATGTTTAAACCCAGTCACACAAGTGGATCAGGGATGATTTTATCCTACATCACAAGTCAGCAAATATGCCTGACATGAGGAGTAGATTCAGCTCAAACAATCCCTGTCTGGACACACTGAAGCTCAGATGATGAGTTATGACTTTTACACACAGAAAGTAAATAAATTCATCCAGGTCAACATCAGATTTGAGTAGAAATCAAAGCAAACCAGGACCAGGTGTCCTGAACTGGGATGAACCCCAGTTATCAACAAATACTCAAATGCAGTGCACGAAAACTAAAATAATCTGCTAATAAAAGTCAACCTGACAGACAGTTGTGTTTGTGGATATCTACTGGTTCGATTGTAGTTTGCTTAAACTTATGCAATGATTAACTCGGACTGATTATTTTGCGCAGGTTAATGCGCAAACACCGCAGTGAAAGTTCAGGAGCCGGATCCCTCAGAGCAAAAAAGACTCGTTACCAAATGACCAAAAACAGAACTTGTTCAGCCAGAAACGTGCACGAAGCGTGCGTGCACACTGCAGAGACTTGTGATTAGTTTGGTTTCCACAAACTTACACTCGATGTGGGAGGACAGCCCTGGAAAACGCTCCTCGATGCAAACTCTGAAATGGAGAAAAATAAAAGCTGCAGGTGAAGAGAGTGGGACTGAGAGGTTCTGAGTAACTCCACACACCGAGGAGAGCTGCTACGGAGGCCCAGAAGGTCCAGCTGTTAGACAAGCAGAAGCTCTAGTCCCGCCCCACGCTCTAAGGGTGGAAATTCAGTTTCATTTTTGAGATCCGACTCATTTGGCTCGATTCACCAAAAAAGAACGACTTATTTCAGCTCCCAAACGATTCTTCACCAAGATAAAAATGGCAAACTTTTATACTCAGGACCATTTTTCCAAGTAATATATAAGACATACAACATGAATATATACAAATGTTAGCTATCCGTATATATTAATACTTAGTGGAATGGCTGCCATTTAAGTTTGTATTCATTCAACTTTTATTTATATTGGTTAGTCCCATTGAGCCTCGGAGACTCATTTACAAGAGAGACCTGAATTTTAACAGAGTGATGGCAACAACGACAACAATAGACAAAATATAACTGATATATAAACTAAGACAAATGTATAAACTAATGATACATTTGCCTGATTAAAAGTCAAAATAAACCTGTCATTTTCCCAGGTGTTGTCTTCTACTGATTCATGCAGCGTTTCTTATCTTACTGTTGTACGTTCAAATATTCATGTTCCCAATGCATTTAGTTGCAACTTGTTTCCTTCCATGTTCCAGTTTGCGTCAGCAAGAGTTGGCATGCCTAAGAACCCTCCCTTGCGTACCACCAACCTCACATAGCACCTGACCTTAAGAGTTTTCCTCACAGGTAATGGGCCCATGTGGAGTCTTGTTTATGTGTGATGATAAGAGCAGTAATGAAGGCATTGCTCCAGTCTGATGTGGTGAAGGAAGAGCTGCACTAGCATGTAAAACTCTGTTTAATGGCTCGTCTACATTCCAACTCTTACCTATTCTCATGAGATATATATCATGACCAAAACAACTGTGACTTGACCACAGAAAAGCAGCAGAAAATAAATGGATGGATAGTTTTTTGATGTCTAAAAAACCTCAGTGTGGAGGAGCAGACAGGACTTTCAGCCCCACGTGTCTGGTGCTCAGACTCAGGCTTGAAAAATACAAGGTAGTGCCCACAAATCAGATGTTGCTTGCTTCAGTTTGGAGCTACAAAAGGAGGCGGAGACTTTTCATACATTTTTTTTATATTAATGGTGTCATTACACTTCACTGGGTTCTTCTCTCTACTTCCCACTAACTCGTGTACACAAATGAATCGGTACATTGAGCCAGCTCGGTCATGAACAGCTCATCCTTGCTTTGTTTTGAGATCAGATCAGTCCAGTCTGCTGTTAACAGCCATGCACTGGCACATTGCTATTGAATCAAACACTTGGAACCAAAACCAATAAAAAGCACTTTAAATTACAAGATGAAGCAGAAACCATTCAAATTAAAAATTTCACAAACTAATATAAACTTTAGTGTTATATACTTTGTAACTACAGCAGTTACCGGTAATAGAAACCATTCTTTGCAATGACACAAATAAATACAGTTCATAAAAACTGCTATTTCAAATTTCGTGGGGGAAAAATTACCATCATTCATTAAAATTAAAATACAGCAAATGAAAACAGCTTCAAAATCCAAACCCAAAATACAAAGTAGGTAATGTTTTACTTGTTTTGTCTGCAAAACATTGCTAAATAAAGCGGTTTAACTTATGTTTATTTGTTTGCATGTTGGCTAAGTAAAAAAAACAAATATGTTTGCTGTATTTTTGTTTGTTTTGTTGTTGTGCTGCTGACGTAGGGTATTTCAGGGCAGCAGCTGCTGATGAAAACCCCTACAGGTCCAGGATTCAGTGGACCATCAGAATGAAGAGGACTCTACTGCATGTGGAGTCTCTGTGAAGAACATGCAAAGCTGCCGTCTCTGAAAAAGAAGAAATGCAAGCAGTGCGTAAGCGAGTCGTCATTTTGATATTCTCTACCGCTCGGAGTCTAAAGCAGCTGCTCTGCCTGTTGGGCCTCATGAACCCACACCTCCTAACCAGCAGCCAATACGGTCCTGGGTTTAGGTTCCCTCCTGTGAGAGGAGGTTCTGTCTAGTTCATGGAGCTTTGAGCAGGAGCTGCTGTCTGTAACATTATCTCTGCAAGTTCTGTTTCGTATCTATATCTAAAAAAGTTGACTTCAGCAACCTTTAATCTTCTCTGCAGTGTTTTGTGGGGCTGAATAACAGCCGGTTGTTTGTGTGCTCACACGTGCATGTTTGTGGCCTACGCTTGAGCAAACGCAGAGACTAACAAGCTTAAAGTTTGACCTGTTTCAGCTTGTTCATTCTGTCACGCCCGAGTCAAATAAGGTCACATAAACCAGATGTGTTCAGGACGAGTTTGTAGCGACACTGTGAGACAGATGTTTATGGGGTGCAGTTTGTAAAGTTACACAGTCAAAAATTACCAGCAATATTATGGTTTATTTATTTTTAAGAAAAAAGTTTTTTTATTTCAATGTCATATTTTCACCATGTTATTCATACATTTATAAACGTCATAGTTCCCAATTAAATATTTAATTTAAAAGGTAAATATTTAGTTTACAATCTAAATATTTATTTTCAAAACTAATTTTTTTT